ATCAACGCCAGATGAAGAAAAAAGAAAAAAAAAGAAAAGAAAAGAAAGGAAACGAAGCGTGCATCGCGCGAGTTGGGCTTTCACTTGGATTCTTCGTGTCTTATTCATTGGCGAGGTGGTCCGCTCGCTCGCGCGGCATACAGGGAGAAAAAGGATGACAAGAAAATCGGAAATTCCGAGGATGCGTCGGCGACGGGTAGCAATGACCTTGGGCCGTGTATTGACTCGAATGTTCCAGCTCTTTGTTCCCAACAATTCGTCGGGAAACTTCTTTCTCTTGCCCCGGCCTCTCTGCAGATTCATAGTCCGCGGCCATCGAACCGCGCGCGCCACCATTCTGCACAGTTTGTGCTCTGTACGGCCGCTGCATTCAAGGATATAGGCGCACTCGAGGAAGCCTCTAGACAAATTTCTGAAATCTAACCTGAGAAACCAACCATGTACATAATTCTGTCTTGCATTTTCGACGATTTCTTTCTTTTCCTTTTTTTTATTTATTTATTTATTTATTTATTTAAAGATCTTCCTCTTTGCACAATTCAATTGGTATTACTGCGTGTGAAATTTCAAATGATCAATTGCCAGGATTTTCATTGCATAACGTTGACAAACCTGTGAAACGAATTTTAAAGCTGAAATTTAGAAAAATAACTTATAACTAGTTTAGCAATATTATTGTTTGGTAAATCATTTCACTGCAGTGAATTTCCAAATTATCAATTGCAAGCTGTCAGTATTTTCATTGCATTTAGAGATTTAGAAAAATAGCTTGTAACCTATATTAGTTTAGGCAGTATTATTATTTGGTAAATTATTGGATCTTTTCATTACATTTCAATATATGTACCAGAATTCTTGTAACCTATATTGGTTTAATAAAACTTGTAACCTATATTAGTTTAGGCAATATTATTTGGTAAATTATTGTGCAAAAGAATTCTGGTGTATATATTGAAATGTAATGAAAAGATCGTGTATGTGTGTGTGCGTGTGCCTATATATAAGTTTTTGTATTTAGCATTTTTGTATTTTTACTCAATCGTGTATCGTGTCGCGTTATATTAATATCATTTATACGCATCTAAGTATGAAATTACGTTTCAAATTATGTTTAGTAAACAAACGTAAATCCGCGTTTTCAAGTGGCGGCAATTCACCAACGAATTGATAAACAGATTTCACGCATCTGTGAATGAATATAAACGTCTGCTTTTAATAAGATTACAATGCTTTGCGTCAAGTTACTTTCGACTTTGAAGATTCTAGTAACCATCTTATTGCAAATTAAATTAATTTAAAGTGTCGGAACATATCAAACAATTATCAATTTAAATACATTAAGTTACAGTACTGAAGC